CGACGGCGGTGACGACGCGTGGGGCAGACGCGAAGGCGAGCTCGCCTCGAATGTTAATTAACGACTCGCCTCTTTTCCACCGTGGAGGCCACTGACATCGTGGCACGCACAGAGCCACGCGCGTGTATCTACTCTACATGCTCACTTTCGAAAGTGAGAATGATCGTCGTTCCTTCTGGCAACGAGTTTCGCGAGAGAGAGAGAGAGAGAGAGAGAGAGAGAGAGAGAGAGAGAGAGAGAGAGAGAGAGAGAGAGAGAGAGAGAGAGAGAGAGGGGAAGAATTCCGTGAATCGGGTAATTGAGAGGCTCGTACGGTAGAAAAGGTGTATGAGACATCGATTTTTCGTTTCTCGGTAGTTAATTTAACATTCGTTACATCTTCTCGTTGTATAAGATTGTGTACGTTTTATCGAAAGAGGTTTGTTCGTACGTTTTAATTGGAAATATCTTAATTTAAAAATTCTGATTTTAACAAAAGTATATTGAAAGATCTTTTTACAGCAGTGAAATCAAAAATTTACTTCTGAACATTTTTCGAGTTAAAATTTTACTTCATCTTCCACCATTACAAAGTTACGTTTAAGAAACTTACTTTAAAACTTTGTATACTGATTTCATCTCCTTTGGTAAAAAGAAAATTGCTTATATACAATTGTACGTACCAATAAAATTTCATTAAGAATAAAAAAATTTCGAATATTTTCATAAATGCATTTGTTCGTTATTCAACTTTTCTCTTAAATCTTACTATCTTGCATGAATATTATTTTTAAAAAAAAAAAAAAAAAAAGAAATTGAAAATTTTTTAAAATTTCTTTTCAAATCTTATCATCTATGGATTTACTCACGATGCTTTTGACATCCTTCCACGTTCTCGGGCCAATCGCAGGACCTTGCCCTTTCGTTGTACAAAAGTCCGCCGATGCACAATTGTTCCGTGGCGGTTCCGTTCCAACAGGTCCAGTACCGCGTGCAAGAAGTCTCGTGGCCGAATATACCGTAGAGCCAGTCGCAATGCTCGGCAGGGATCGGTGGATTAGCCTGCCGCTTTCCGTCGCAATAGTTCGCCCTCCAGGGATAGTCGCAGCCCTCGGTCACGCCTCGATGCTTCCCAGCGAAAACAAGACCGTTTGGACAGTCGAATAATTCTGGACGCCCGTTCACGCATTCCCAGTAACGATCGCAATACTCTATGTCACCGACCACTCTGGATTTCGTTTGGCAAGGATCTTCTTGCTGCTGTTTCTGCCCCTGCGATCCTGCGAACGTAAATAGAATGTATATGTAAATATTTTTCTTTTCTTTTTTGAAACAAGATTCAAATTGTTTGTATATCGATTATTATTATTATTATTATGCAGCAAAAAAAACATTAAAGCGATTTATTTGATCATGTATAATAATAATAATAATAATAATAATTTTGTTTGATGATTAATTAATCAAATATCATTATTTGTCAGTTGAGAGTGAAAGTAATGATTGTAATTGAAGAGATGTAAAAATAAATATATATCTTTATCTGTGAAAATATAAATAAAATGTATATTTTTAATAATAAGATCGAAATTAAAAGTGTATTTCAATTATGCAGCAGGGAAAACGTTAAAACGATTTATCGTGTCGAATATTTTCTATAATTAACTAAATAATATTATTATTTGTCGAGAATGAAAGCAAAAAACTTAATTTATTTATCAAGAGAAACGATAAAAAAATTTGTAAAGCTATTATTATATCTATTTTATCTATTTCGATTATTATGCAGTAGTGAAAATGTTGTAAGTGAAATGCAGTAAGAATGAAAGTAATGATTTAATTTATTTATCAAGAGAAACGCTATTATTAAGTTAACCTATTCTACGTATTTCGATAATTATGCAGTAATGAAAATGTTATAAATGAAATGCAGTAATTGAGGATGAAAGCAACGATAATTTAGATTTTTAACGCTTAGTATATCTATTTATAAATGATTGTAATTCGACGAACGAATTGCAATATTAATCAAAAACATTTCTCAATAATCGTAAATAATATGGAATTCATCATTTTGTTTAATTGTTCCAGTTAGTTAAACCACGTATTATTCATATTTAGAGAAGATTAGATTTATATCGATTATACTTTCCATTTTGTAATTCGAAAAAAAATGTGAATAACCTTTTCAAATTAGAAATTAATGTCTAAACTTTATTTTTTTAAAACTTATAATTTTCATAATTCATAAAGTGTCTACATGCGATTCTAAAGAATAAATCTACAATTCAATGAAAATGACGATTGTTAACGGTTAACGAATACCAATTACGAAACATTTGGCGGCGAAAATCAAACGCATTTTTCAATCCATTGTAGACATAGCGGATGAAAGAGTGTCGTTGCACGGTTTTCCAAGCAAGCAGGAAATTATGCGTAATCTCCATTGAGAAGGCCAAACGGATCGCGACTAAATATCAAGTTGCACGACGATACACGTTCGTGTTTTCTTCTTTCGATTCAGGAACACGTTCCCGCCGACCGTGAGGCATAGTAACACGATTTCTTCTGCCTGATCAGATCGAACATTTCTGACTCATCGTTCATTGGCCAACATCGATATTCGCCAACCAGTCACGATTTTCTTCTCGTCGATATGCATGCACGGAATAAATTTTATTGTAAATATTGTTCTCTTCGACTGCTTATTCTCAGTTAAAATACATACATAATATTCGTTCCTAAAAAATATATATATGTAATTTGCAAGAAATATTCATCGATCTTTTCTACTTAATTTTTTCACCAACTAAAGACGTCTACGATCAATCGTTGTTAAGAGATGTGTTCACACAGTAATAGCTGCCAACTGCTAAAATAATCAAGTTTCTCCTCTTCCAAGTCGTTTGGCTAGTGGTAAACGTTACACTATGCACGTAACGCGTTACAAAATAACTTTCCAAACGCACACAATAATCACGTAACACTTGGGTCATCGCAATTGAAAGATTTTTCTTTTTTTATAAGAAAATTGAAGAAAAAGAAAACATTGTGAAAGAAATTGCACGAGTACCACATAATAATCTATCTTGAAATCTGATTCTTGTTGATAAATCATGATAATACGCGATGTATTACACAGAAATATGAAAACTTGCTTATGTATCTAATTTATTGCGCACGTTACAACATCCTCTTAGAATAAATCCGTGCGAAATAAAATTACAATTAAATATTAACTAACGCGAAATATTAACTAAGAAAATTACTAAAATATCTTTTTCTCTCTGAAATACATCTCCTCGTAAATGATTCTATCCAACTTCAACTCGTCCATGTAAATATCTTTTTCGAAAAATTCACTTTTTGAAGATTCGATATATTCTACTCGAAGAAATCAATTATTAAAATTTCGATATCAATAACTAAAAATAATCGACAAGTCGAGATTTTTCGAAGGAGTAAAATTTTAATCACGAAATTCTTAATACTTTCCAAGATTCGACACGTCAAATAATTTACGATTATCTTACAATTTCGATAATTAAAAATAATTAACAAAAAGATTTTTCAAAGAAATGAATACCTCTTGAAATTCGAAATTCCACTCGTTCCTAGTCCAATTTTAGTAGTATCGAAATATAACGCAAAGTGAAGCCTGTGCTCGTCCCGATAGAGGTTAATCGTCGAAATGGAACGCGGTCCTGCAACCAGTGTCGTGAAATTAATTTACGTGGAGGCACAGAGCGGTGCAATCGTTTAACCACAGGAGATTACACGTAGTAATATCTTGGTTAATGGACACAATTCGGTCGAGGGATCGGTTAGAAAAGTAAATAATAAAGTAAGGTGGGAAGGTAGCTCGTAGCTCGCTCCCAAGAGAGCACGGTCCCGAGTGAAAGTGTCTAGCCTTGACTTGCAACCTTCAACTCGCCTCTCCCCCCCTCGTCAAATCGAACAGCGCTCGAGTTTTGCTCTAACGCCGTTCCCATCCTTCATTCAATCGAATCAACGAAACTTCGATTTCGAACGATCGAAATTGGACAAGGAAGTAGGAAGAGAGGAGATAAATATTACGATAGTTGTTCGACGACTTTCTCGAGAAACGAATGTGTTGATTATCGATCGTCGTACAATATTCGTTTTCTACATGCCAGTTTGATTACATATGTGTAATCGAATGATGTGTAAACAAAAAAGAAAAAAGAAAAATAGAATAACGATCAATATTCCATCGGAGAAAATATAACGTGAAAGAACTTTAAAAAAGATTCTGTGAATTTCCTTGTTTGGAATTAGTGGAATCGTCTCAACGGTATAAGCGATTTTCTTCAATTTTTTTTTTCCTAAGAATTCTCAAGATCCTGATTTTTAAATCTTTAGAACTGTGAATAATCGTTTCGTGTTTTACAAATGGAAATTCACGAATAAAAATTTGACACGCGGCATATTGCGATTCTATGTTATTCAGGATTAGGTTAGGTTAGATTAGGTTAAATTAAATAAAACGAGATTGTGTGAAGCAAATTAACGAGCGATGAAAATGATCGTGTTGTCCGCTTGATTTCAGGGTTCTCGTTTGATCGAGAATACCGATCGGTATTCCTTTCACTTTTTTTGGAATGCAGAGTGAACAGAAGAAGATCGAAGCGATGGACAACGTTTCGAATTGAATCTCGATCACTGGCGAAATTAAAGCAGCTGTGTCCGTGAACGAGCTTCGAGATGCGGCTTGCTTTCGAATGAAATCATTTGCTATTTTTTCTCTTTTTTTTCCTTTCGACACCATCCTTGACGGTGTGGTTAGAACATAGGCAGTTGAATGTCAAGGATACATGCACTTTTACGAAGTATAAAATAAAATAATCATTTTGATGTTTAAAATTTATAAGTTCAGTCGCTTTTTTTTAAATCAGAATTTAGATAGAAGTAGAAAGAAGATTATGGATTTTTCAAATATAATCAATGATAAATATATTTATTGACAAAAGTTAAAAGATAAATTAATCATTCATTTTTTTTATTTGTTCTTCATGTATATATATATATTTGAAAAAAAGTTTATTACTTATTGATATATAATTTATTTGGCTTTATATAATATATTATATTATATATATATTATATAATATACTAAATATCATCATTAATCGATCATTAAATATTATCCAGAATTAGATACAAACGTGTGCTTATAAAAGAAATAAATTAATAAATTTATATAATAAAATTATCATCTCAAAAAAATACATAATTTTCTTTCATTTCATTACTCAGAATTACGTACAATAAATGATAAAATAAATAGAAGCCATAAAGAATTTCGAAGAATCGCAATTTGATTATCTTTGATCTATTATGAAAATGAGTGATATAAATTTGCAAAAAATTATTTTGTTTCTTAATTTTTATCAGTATATACCATTTTCGAATTTTCAGAGTTAAAGTAACGAATCGTGAAACGTAATCGAGGAAAAGCAAGCGCAACACCAGCGCCTTTCCAAACATATCACTGCGTCGCCATTCGAAAACTCTAGAATGCTCGACAGAATGTTGCTCTCAATGCAACAATGTACCGGATTGGAATAATCGGTTTATTTACCTCGCGTGCTAGAAATTGTTTTCGCACGTGGCCTCTTATTTGATATTTAATTCCTTGCGTGATCGATTAAGAGAACGACGAGAAGTGAGAAACAAGTGATAATCTTTTAATCGAGAAAGTAAAACGAACAAACTCGTAAAATTACGAATTTTCATCTTAATAATAAAAATTGTAATTTTATTTGAATTATCAATGTGAAAATTATAATATTTTAACGTTTATATTTTAACAAAAAAATGTTAAAATTGTTTGTTGACTTTGTAGGTGGACGCATCCCTGGTTAAGCTAGGTTAGGTTATGCAACGAAGATTCTTATTAGTAGTGTCGAGGCACTGGGATACTTTCCTTTCCTTTACGATTCCTTGTAAAGAGGTAAGTGTTCGCGGTAAATTGTTAGAATCTAAGCAATAAGAATCAAAGGCAAGTGTGTATCTGTAAAATCTCTAATTGTTTGTGTTTCACAAACAACACGTGCAGTTCATTATGAACTTTTCATTTCTTTCATTCTTTCCTAATGCTCGACGATTATTTCTTTCTTTACCAGTAGAAAAATTAATGACCAATTGCATTTCTTCGTAACTTATGTTCTTCTTTACCTACATCTATTCAAATATATTTTATTATTCCATAAATATTCACAAATGTCACTGTTTGGATCACAGATACTACTCGTCGATTCCAAAGATCGTATGCGAACTCGTGTATCTTAGAAACATTGCAGAATTAGTTATGCATAACTCTTTAAGAATGTGTAACGTCCATATCTAATAGAATGAAACGTATGCAACATCACATAACGTTGCTTCGCGCGAGATATTCGAAGAGAAAGGTCTTTCCATACGCTTTTCCACAAGAAAATTCTTTAAATCGATCCACGGACCGTGAGCTTAATGCGTGCACTTTCTCAATAAATAAATACCTTATCATTCTTATTGAAATCAACTTTCCACCGGTTAGAAAATCGTAATATTTCAGAAAATCGTGTCTCGATCCATTCCATTCAAAAGTAAATCGACGAGATTACGTGCAATTTCGATCGAATTTTTCTTTTCACTTTTTTTACGTGTTTTCAAACAAGGACAGGTTGACAGTGGTTCTCAACCTTTCTCAGAATAAACAATTCTTTTTTCGTAACCGATCTATGTGTTAATTTAACTATTTAATCTTTGTGTTTGTGTTACGTGATAATACGAAGAAATTACAAGAGTTGGCTGAGAAATGCGACAGGTTTGGTTGCGTAGAAAATTTTATCGCATACCAGACTAGTGCTACAACAAAATGTGTAAATGTCACGTTTCACCGTTTCATTTCTTCCTGATCGCGGAATATCGACATACAGCCTTCCTGGATCTAGTAGTGAGATATATACACGATAGGTCTCTCTCTTTCTACGTGAAGTGCAACGTTCCAAGTCAAAAGTCAGCTCGCGTAATAAATCGATCCAGATGTTTACGAGATACGTGCCACTTCCTTTTTCTTCTTCTTCTGTCCGTCTCGTATCTTTTTCTCGCTCGAACGTTCTTGAATAAATGCACTTGTCGAGAAATAATTTTCAAAGAAAACGTTCTCTTTGACGATTTTTGTTTCTTACGTGATTTAAAACTTGTTTTGGTAAACAAGATTAATTATATAACTTATTCCTTTGAAATCAAATGTAAAATTCGATCGAAAAATTTAGCTTCTCGCGTCTGAAAAAAAAAAATACTCACGTATATAAGTTAATGCATATTAACCAACTCGTGAAACGATCAGTTTTTCTAGAATGATTTTTCCATGTTTTTTTTTTTTTTTTTTTCAGTCACAGCAGCCTCCTTTTACTTCTTTTCCATGCGCATAATTTGTTCCTTTTTCTTCGACTTCGAGGTTACGTCGAAGAACGTTTCTCCATCTCGTTTTCCCACTAATCAACCATTTTAATAGCAGTTTTTCTACGTTATTGTGGCAGAACTTCCGGGTCCAGCCACGTTAAAGAGTGTATTCATGCGCGACGGTATATTTCCGGGAGAAATACAACGGTATATAGTTTATTAGCCTAGAATTTTTATCAGGGCGGAAGGAAAACAGTGGCGGAAATCGGTCGAAGTAATTCGACTGTTTAGAAAATAATTTCTATTATGCAAAATTATGTAATAGAAAGTAAGATTTATTACGTAAACAGATCGATGCGAGAAGGTTAACTCTTTCGAGATGTATTATTGTCTTACTAGATTTCTTTATCAGATTAAAATTTTTGGTGTCATTATGTAAATGAAATTATGTAAAATTATAATATTTCGTAATAAAAATGAATTTTATTATATATAAACAATATCGTTTCGAAGAATCTCGATATCATAAAAATTTTTTATGTTAATAAAAAACTTTGCCAGAGTAACAATATCCTGTCTAAGAAAAATTTGCATGCATTTTCACCAACAATAAGTTACATGGATTTTGCTAGAAGAATTGAATTATGCATGAATGTTGCCTTTTAAAGGCATGAACGAATATTTTTGGCATAAAGTGAAAGTATCGAAAAGTGTTTAATAGTTAAGTGTTCAAACAGATGTTTATTTAGAAAGAATTACGAAACAGGAAGTATACTCGCGTTTCGTAATTGAAGAGGTTAGATATGCAAGTGACATTTTCTTATTTAATGCCTACGATATAAATTCTTTTTTATTTTTTTAAATACAAAATATTTTTATCATCTCTAGATAAAAAATTGATCAATAACCTCATAGTTTATGCAAAATAATCAAAAGAGAAACACAGAAAGAGAGAGAGAGAGAGAGAGAGAGAGAGAGAGAGAGAGAGAGAGAGAGATCTGTCTGCTGAGCTACTTTCATATTTTCACTCCCGAGACACGGGAGAAAGTTCTCGAGATGTGTGAAACCCGGTGAATGCCCGTCATTGTCTTACGAAGACGCGTGTAACAATTACTAGAAAAGGGATTTTGCTTCGAATCGAATTTTCTATTATAAACAATAACGGAAATTGTGTAACGAATAAAAAAAATAGACTGTAAGAATCAATAATCCGAAGCAACAGTAATTAGTTGCAGTCCATTAACGATTAATCAACATTATCTCGCAATCTTGTTTGAAAAAGTAAAAAATAAAATAATGATCAAAAGTAGAAAAAACGAATTTTTGCTTCGTTATAAAATATCAATATTAAAAGAATATTAATAGAATTGGAATTATTCAATTTATTTCGAGTAGTATCGAGTATTCTACTACTTTCACCACACTGGATACTGGATTAAACGATTCGATTGATCATTGAGCGATTCGATAAACAGTAACGAGAAAGTTATTCAGTAACTCGATCCAAATTCATTTTTATTCAGATAGATAAATTTTCAATCAAATATTTAACATTCGATGTAAAATGAATAATCAAAGATGATTATTAATCGTGCGAAGGACACGCTGTTCGATCGAGAAACATTGGTGTTAAACGCAAAAAAAAATCGAGAGGATCGTCGTTGCGAAAGTAGGCCGATGCGCACTTTTTAGATCCAGCTGCTGCGAGAAACGCGATGGTCTGATCACAGAAAGTCCGTTTTCACTTACACTCGCGGCTCTCTGTATCGCTCAATTAAATGTAATGAAAAATTCGATCGATTCTTATTTGTATTAACACGCGATAATGTGACGAGACAAATGTGTGAGACAAATATAAACGGCACTTAAATCGTTTATTATGTATAAGCATTCTTCACGCGGACGCGCTGTGTTATCGTCCGCCACTCGGACGGTAAAGTTGTTTAATTTATACGAGCGATTGCTACCGACCGCGCATTCTCGCTTTAACGACACGATAAACAAGCATCGTGGTTAACGTTCGGGATGGAACGATTCATCCTTGTAGGAGGAAGAAGGCAAGAAAAACACGAGGTAGAGGGAAAAGGAAAAAGAAGAGACGAAGGAAGATGGAGAAAAGGAAGAGAGAAAAAAGAGTAAAAAGTGCGGTAATGGGACTCACCGTGCGCAACCAGGAACAGCAAGAGTAACGAGAGAGCCTGGGACGACACCATTTCTGCGACTTGTCTTCTGCTCGGCCTTGGACAAGACCAATTCGATTAACTGGAAATTGCTCGAATTTCGATCCGGTGGCCTGGAATCATCCAAAGGTGGGGCTGGAAGCGTGAAGCGGATTCTTATAGGTACCGAAGAAGCTCGGCTGATGAGTTTTCGTGTCGAGACTGGTCACTGGGAGAGGCGTTTGGCTTCGTGTCTTATATGAGCTCCCCACTCTTCCGGCAGGTCCGATCTCTGGCGCATAGGAAGGCCTCCCTCGAGAACACACCTGGTTTCTTCTATCGAGGACTACGTCGCGTACTTACTACTCTCGTTAAGTATCCTCCTCTCGTCGATGATACTTTGGAAATATCTTGGAAAACAAAACATAGTTGGTGACTCTCTCGTTCAGAACGCTGTCCTTTGTCCTGCTTTTTACTCGACCGGCATTTCTATACATGGAATGGATACACAGCAGGTAAAAGGAGGTAATTCATAATACGCGGGATATTTGTGGAATTGAATGGGGAAATTATGAAAGTGATTTTTCTATTTTCTAAGAATTATTGAAATGTCGTATTGTTGAAAATGGATCAATAACGGAATGTTTCACTTGAATTACGTTAAATATTATATTAAACAATTGTATAAATAATAATTGTATTAATAATAATTTTTGTTTAATTGTAAAATTAACTCGAAAGATTTTAAATATTAAGTTCATTTTATATAATTTTTCAGAGGTGATTAGATTTGATGTCGAAGTCACACGCAGATCCGCGGTTTCAATTTCATTGTACGTGATTTAGCAAAGTAATTGAATTTGATTTTTCACGCTCGGATACTTCGCTGGGACAAATTGCCTCTATCGTCATACCCGATCGTATTTCACTTCCGTTTTCTTTTTTCCTTTTGTGCGACCAAATATGCAGATATCCTTCCTGCTTTCTATGCCATCTCTCAAATTTTTTTTCACATTATTTTGCGGAAAATCGATTTTATAAAATTACAATTAACAAAATATCCTACATCGTAGAATTTCTTCTATTATAAACAAATATTAATTGAATAATTAGATATAATTAATAAAGCTATTAATTAAGTAATTATTTCAATTACAAATATTATTTATTATTATAGGAACGAAATTGTATCTTTCAGAGCATTCGATCTTCAAAATTGGACGTTATATAAGATTAAATAGAATTGTTATGATAACAAACAATTTTTTATTATCTCGAAAGCGAATGATATTTCTTCGATATAAAATTACTTCGAGAACAATCTCTTCTTGTTAAATCAGAAATTGTGATAAACAAATTGATTCAAGTAAAAAAAAAAAACTGTACGTCTCTTGACAAATTTTATTTTAGATTTTAACTGAATCGGCTTATTTATTTGCAGTTTCGAGAGAAGACCTTCACGGTTTCTTTCACCGTATCGAGTCGCTTCGTAACTCGGTGAAAATCGTGGTGAAACATACTCTTGATCATTGGATGAAAATCACTGGCATTCATCTTCTTTTCACATTGTCGTCGCGCGTTTGTGTTGAGACGGAAGTGGATAAACGGTCTCGTAATATTTACGAGGTATGATTCATAGTTAAGACAATTTAAATTTTCATAATAATTTTCCGTGCAAATTAATTATTTAATTTGGGATATTAAAATTGTATTAATTATTTTTTTTTTCCTCTTCAGAATTTTGTTTTCTAAACGATTTTATGAAGTGGAACAATTGAAATGGTAAATATAACGTTAATTAATGAATTTCTAATTTCACGTCATTTTATTTAAACAGAATGATCATTAAATATAACGCAGTAATAATTTTACTTACTAATCGCTCTTGTTCATTAACAAATAATAATAAAAAATATACTTTCCCCGGTGTGCTTAACAATTCGCACAGCAGTCTTTTAAATTATTCCATTATCCGTTTCTCAGACTCTGTTCTCTATTTGCAAAGGCTTGTGCAACTAAGTGAATCGTATTAAACATAACGTTTAAGTTAATTATTAATTCCACGCGAACGAATAACAAAGTAGTTTCTCCTTCCCTTCCATTCTACCTCTCTCACTCCTTTCACTCCTCCATTCTCCGCAATCAACCCTATAAAAATTTTGAAAAATTTCACTCTCATGATCAAAATTGTAAATATTCAAACTCGAGGAGAATTTTTCTCAATCTTAATTGTCGATCATTGATATTAATTATTCCCTTTTTTCTGCAAGACCAAATATACAGAAAACCAAATAAAAAAAAAAAAAAAAAAAAGAAAACGCAATTTAAGAATGTTTAAAGCATCAACGAGAAAGATATTTATTTATCAGACGCGAAAGTTACACGATATCACCAAGGCTATCTGCCACTTTCTCATAGAATCGAACACAGTTTCAGTTTCTCAATTTGCATAGAGAAGAAAAAAGAGAAGATTTCGCAAGGAGCCGAATATTGTACTTCCCGGAAGAAGGAAACACTCGAAGCTCAAGCACGATATTCAACGAGGATTCTCTCGCTTTGTTACCTCCCTTTATGTAAGGAGGAACTAAGGACAGCTTATTACCATCAGATGAAAGATTATCGCTCGGTGGGAATGGTCACAAGAGGAAACGAGACACCTGTGAATAAAAACAATGGCCGCCGCGTTTCGAAAGTCTCTCGCGTTTGTTTACCCCCTTTTCCACCCTCGATCTCGAGTCCAACAATTACTCGTTATGCTCGTTAATTAATCAATTGATTCACACCTTATCGCAGTGTTGAGATTATGACTGAATTGAACGACTCCTCCTTTGTTAAAATAACTGAATAAATGATAAATTTCGAGATTGTTGCGATATATTTGTTGGATGAATAATTTCGTACATGATGAAAATATTTTATACAATTTTATTGTAAATTGTGAGATGGAAAACATGGAAAACAAGTTTGAGATCTGTTGAGAAAAATATTGTTGAGAAAATATATTTTTATGTACCAATGTTATCGACAATGTTGTATATGCGATTATGCAAATTGTGGGATAATTGAAAAATTATCTTGTCGAGAATATTATTAAATTACGATGATTTCTTATCGGCTGTTTCATTATAGAAGATCGTGCCCGTGTTGATAGATTAATGGAAGGATGTCTGGTCTTATCTCATCCCGTCGGGCAACAGGATTCAAGATTGTCGCATTAACAAGACGTTTTAATTAATTAAGGATGAGACGACGTCGTATTCTCTTTGCGTATTCTCTTGTTTACGATATTGTTGTCGAGATAACGATCAATCATTTGATTAATTTGCTTTGAAACGTTTAACACGTTTAAACACATTGTTATCATAACCTCTGACAATTATAACATAATATAATATATAATATAATATTTATATGTAACAATTATAACATAATTATAATATAATATATATACAGTTTCAGTACATTTTTCATAACATAATATAATATATAATATAATACAATATTTATATGTAACAATTGTAACATAATTATAATATAACATATATACAGTTTCAGTACATTTTTCATAACATAATATAATATATAATATAATATAATATTTATATGTAATAATTATAACATAATTATAATATATATACAGTTTCAATACATTTTTCATAACATAATATAATATAATATTTATATGTAACAATTATAACATAATTATAATATAATATATATGAGTTTCAGTACATTTTTCAGTGCCAGCCTCGATTCGAGAAGATCAGTTAAAAAATAGGATAAATTTGAGAGCCTCTGGTTTAGTCAGAGGCACAGAAACTGTTGTGAGCCTGTGGCTCGCTATGACCCGGAGAGCAAGGACCTCTGGTCCTTGACGAGTTCGAGTCCGCCACTTCTCCTCTTTTTCTTATTTTCTTATCTTTTATTTTTCTCCCTTTTACCGGACTCTCCCTGTCTCATCCCACCTTTAAGGTCCTTTTTAATTGTTTTATCGTCGCTCCATCTCTCTCCTTGTTAAAACACACTCATTAGGTCGCTTCAACGAAAACTCTTGCCCTAGCAAACCCGTCCAAACTTAATATATATATAGTGCACGTCGTCCAAAGTGAAAATTCAAATTTTGAATAATTAACAAAACTAAATTAAATAATAAAAATCAATGATCCTGAATTTTTATTCTTTTTTTCCCGCTACTTTTTTTTTCTGCAATATAAATTTCATGTGATCGTTACAGGTATGCAGTGTTGCGCAATAGCTGCGCAATAACGGTACAAACGTGCGTGACGACAATCTGAAAAGCGCGGAGGAAGAAGGAGAAATCGGTATAAGGAATATAACTCGGCGTATGAAGTCATCTGCGGCAAGGATCTTTCATACTGTCCACACTGTTCTAAGAACATCCTGCGTGGAACCGCAATCGAGTATCTACGAAGGTACAACCGAAGGAATGTAAACCCTAAAGCGAAGGAATTTGTTTTCTCGGAAGCGGCGATGATGATGATGATGATGATGACGGTCTGTCGGTAATTTTCTACGCAATATTTTATTCATTGATTTCTTTTCGTTTCTCCTTTAACGTAATTTTGTTAGATAAAAAAAAAAAAAGGTTAGAAAAATAATTCTTGAAGAAGAATAAAAATAAAAAAAAGATCTAGAAAAAAAATAAATAAATAAATCGAGATACGATTTATAATTGATTAATCAATTCCGTTTGTTGAAAAAGTGCTTTAGATGGTCAACCGAGCGAAATTGTTTTGGCTTGGTAACAAAGGAACGCGAGGAAAGATAGTATCTGCAGCACCGCTTTAGAAGTAATTTCCCGTGGAACGAGCGCGAGGAAAAAAATACGAGGAACGTTTACGATGTTTCGAAGAAGGCAAGAGTCTCGTCCTCTCGTTACACGATTACAAAGTAACACACACAATTAGATATTTAAAAATTCTTCGATCTTCGCAGAAAAAAAAGTTATAAGTTTGCGACGACCTCGATTCATATTTATATTTTATCGACGATTCTTTCTCATTTTTTTGTTATTCGTATTTTTTTTTTTTTATGCAAATCTCTTCCATTGTTGTGGCAATCGTTTCGTTCGTACGAAAGAGATCGTTCAAGAATTAATATCGATGCCAATTGCGAAACCCAACTCTTTCTTCTTTTTTCTTCCTTTCCTTTAGAGACCAGAATCTTTCGGAGTGTTCTTTCGAAGAAAAAGAATGCACGAGCGATGAAAATGCACAACCCGCGGCCGAATACCGTAATGCTTGTTCAAATTCATCGGAGAGCGTTCAACAGGTCGGTGAAGTAGGTGGGCCACCCTCTTCGAGTTATTCCTCCTATTCCCTTTTGAAAAAGATCGTTCGACTGCGTTAATGGGATACGAAATAAATCTTGAAGGAGAAGATACGTCAGAAGAACTTACGTCGTAATTATGTCCTCGACGACTGGTGGAATTTTCAGTAATTGCCGCCAGATGGACACCGAGCTACTGGAAGGAAGAAGGAACACGCTTCGATTGCAGATTGTGTTCCCAGGAATCGCTTTGAGAATTGTTAAGTTGCTCGTGCCTCGAATAAAATAAAGGCGATATATTACGTTGAATTTATGTTTTTTATTTTTATTTTTATTTTATTTTTTTTTTTTGTTTCATTTGATGGTGCACGATTGTTATCATTTGTGACAGAAGTATAATGTAAATTCTTTTTCTTAAATAAGAAATAATTGAAGCTTGTTCAAAATGAAAACGAGAAATAAAAAGATATATATTATTGTTAAGATGAGAAACAGAATAAAGCATTCAACTATCGCATTCTAAAATCTTGATGTAAATTATCGTTTTGTTCACGAGAAATAGTTTTTAATTATCATGTAATGTAATAATTCAAGGGAAAAAATCAAAGTTGTTTAGTTTATCGGTTATAACATAATACACACATAGTTTGTACTATGAACAACTAGAAAGTAGTCCAACCATACCTGTTCTAGTCTCTTTCACCAATATTTTCCAATTCTAAAAAAACATAACCTATAAGCTGATCTGATCTATTTACAACAATCTTGACTGATATATATATAACAATAAATCTGCACGATTATTTAACATCATTTTCCACTTCATATTTCTCTTGCACACTTTATTACAATGAGAAAAATAACCTCAACGCGAAATAAAAACTCCCTTCCTCGAGCGAAATGCATCTCAATTCCCACTTCGTTTTCGAATAAAGACGCGAAGCAAAGGAGGATAAAGGCGCGAGAAAGAAAGACCTAGACGCGATAATAGGATCTCAGGGATCGCAAGAGGTGACTCGCCTCCCTGTCCATCACCGTCTGCCAAGGAAATTGAAACGTTCCTCGACGAGTTCTGCCTCGGGACACGCGCGACCTCACGTCTCACTCTATAGCCACCGATTTAACGTATGTGCGCGCATCCTCTCCAGAGATATCGGTTTCGTATTTGCGCTTAAGTGGTGTATCGTGTAGGCCGTGTTAAATTTATAGTACGATTTCAAACCGGCCATTTCTTATCTAGTTTCGCTGTATTATCGACTGAAATTAATTACGTTAAAAGATTTTGCTTTTTCTTATCCTACGCTTGTTTCGTATTACGGTTCCATGTATTTTCTTTATTGGTTTTTAGTTAGAAGGAAATAATAATAATTAAAAAATAATTCGAAAATTTTTAATATTTTTCTCGTTTAAGGGAATAAATAAGAGCTCTTTTTTATGAAATGATAGAAAAGTAGAAAGAAATAAATATTATTCTTGAAAAAAATATTTATAGATCCGCCAATAGATGAATCGTGAGTTTATATTTTGTCTTGAATGGAATGTAAAATGAACATGCAAATTGAACAAAAAATTTTGCTTGATCTATTATATTACAATATTATTTATTGAGTAAATGAATAACAGAATTGTAATATAAATTTAAAAATTTATTCTATAATCAGATAACTATAATAATTCTTAATGACAAAAATATAAAATGAATAAATAAAATTAATCATCTTTATTCATCGTTTCTCTCTGCATGCTATTTTCGTCTTTGTATTTCGTTCTTTGTCCGCCAACCTTCTCGCGCATATTTCTCATGCTTTTCACAGTTTATTTTTCCATTCCTTTCGTTTTGGGGCCCACAGGCTCTTTTCGATTATCCAGTCTCGTCCATAGCCATTCTTTACAGTTTATTCGGTTTGGACAAAAAGCTAACCGAAATAGAAGCAAAACGAGAAAGACAAACGAAGTAAGATGAAAAGGATGGGATTGATTTCATAGGATAAACGATAATTCCGCGTAAGCGGAATTTAGGACGATACTCACCCGCTTGTTTCGATATTTTTTTATACGACTCTGACGTTTTGATCAAGGAATTCGATAACAGAAAGAGGTTCCTCGAATACGAGAATTTTTTTAATTAATTTTTTTTCGCTGCATTGATTGCACACAAAATGAATTATATATAATAAGAATTGATTGTACTTTTTATTTCTTAAAAATTCATCAATCCAATTTAATCTAGTTTAAAATTAATTAAGAATATTTAAAAAAATATGCACGTGTTGATTCCGTATATAATACCACATATACTGCGTGAAATATATATATATATTTATATATATATATATATATAAAACGGAACAAATTTTCGCGAGAATATCACAGAGAATCAAGAAGAGATTCCAAGGAATAAGATGGGATCGAAAATTCGACTCACGGACGAAGCCTACGGTGTTCAGTGATCTTTTTTCTTTTTTTTTCAAAGATATATAAGTCTTCTGTATATATACGGTCGGCTTATAATTATACCACAGATGTAAGATTCTGATATAAGAAACTGACACGGTTTAAATCAGCTTACCTTTACAAGATTATATCATCTGCGTGAACACATGTCTAATACTACTCATTTTATTATAATATTTCAGTTCGGACGGATAATAATCAAAAACACATTTCATCGAAGAGTGAAAACGAGATTAAGAAAAATCTCGATCGAATCTTTTCTTTTAAACGAAAAAAATTTCTCAAATAAACAATAATATTCGTAATGTAAAAAAAAAAAAATATTATCTTGATAAAGCTACTTGGTAAACAGTTCGTACAACTACGCAACAATTGTAAGTAAACAGTTACTGTAAGCTGAAACAAGTCTAACGAATTCTCGTCACGAATAACGTACAGTGTCTCACATTTTATCTCTGCACGCCACCGCTCGCAGATCTTCCACACTATACCTATAACCTCAACGTCTTACACGCTCTTCCTAGACGGTATAACACGATAATATCCGGGTACATCCCGGTTTCAGAAAATTTAGAGAACTCGTCCCTATTATTCCTTTTCTCTTTATTATACCTCGTTGTAAAGCGAAATCTTTGACCATCTCGCGAAACATACGTAAAATAAAATACGAAAATTCTTCAAAGTACAATCTTGTGATCGCTCGCACTCCTTAACCTACAAACTCGATAAATTTGTCGAACGTACGAGTAAAACAAAATATATCGCGAATCGATATACAAGGAACTTTTGAGCAAAATTGTTGTTGTTGAAAATTGATAAATAATGAGTCTTCGTTTGGAAAAGCAAAGTGACTCACGATTAAAAATTCGTTGAGGAATCGCATCGATATTCGATACAAAGAACTTTTGAGCAAAATCGTTATTGTTAAAAATTAATAAATAAATGGTGAATCGTATCTGCGTTTGGAAAAGCAAAGTGGTGAGTGATTCACGGTTAAAAATTCGTCGAGAAATCGATACTCGATATAAGAAATTTTTTAGCAAAATCGTTGTTGTTAAAAATTAATAAATAAATGGTGAATCGTATCTGTGTTTGGAAAAGCAAAGTGGTGAGTGATTCACAGTCAAAAACTCGTCGAGAAATCGATACTCGATACAAGGAATTTTTGAGCAAAATCATTGTTGTTAAAAATTGATAAATAAATGGTGAATCGTATCTGCGTTTGGAAAAGCAAAGTGGCGAGTGACTCACGGTCAAAAACTCGTCGAGGAACCGCATCGAATATCTGGATTTCAGGATTACGTGGATCCACTCGTTTTCTTTTCTTTTTCTTCTTTTTCGTACGTGAAATCTTCCTTATTGCGGGTCAATAAAAAGGACGATGGGCCCGGATACTGGGGCCAGAAACGTAACCTGCAGCCGTAAAATTCACGAAATATTCTTGGAGGGAGGAGGGAAACGCGAAATCATTCAAGGAATCGAGCCTCTTGTCGCGATATCCAAAAACGTCTCGATAATGAGAGAGGTTCTAAGGAATATATCTCGATGGCGTTTCCACATTCCAACTTCGAGATTCGAAGGTTCAACGATCGGATTTTTCTGTAAAATCCTTCGAAACGGTTCGAAATTTTTCGAAGACGAGAAACTTGCTTTTTCTCGATTTTTGAACGAAATAGAGGTATGTATAATCAATCGTAAAGTCGATAGTCTCGCTCCCCAACCGAAATCACACTTTCAGGATTTTTCTTCAACGATTATCCAATGTACCAATACCTCTTCAATCTTAGATTATTCTGATTACCACAATTGGTCAAAACGTTCCTCGATTTTTACTTTAAACTATTAATAAGAAAATTCCTTTCGTCCAAACTTGCTCCAACCAATATAACGCCCGATCAACGATTCCTCCCTCCCTCTTTATCAGATTACATCAGAATCGCAACCCAAAAAAAAAAAAAAAGGAAGAAGAAACCTGAAAAATTGAAAAACCCACGGGTCGATACCGTTATACACGCGTCACATATCGAAAGCCTGGCCAAGTAAGTACACGAGAGTACAAATGTCTCGACCTTGACATCCTACGCGGTCGTTTGCCCATCGAGGCAAAGCGTCTTTTTCCCCGGATTTTGTTCGCGGACGAATGATCGGCCGCGACACGCGTTGTTGACCGGTCATTCTAAGCCACTCCTCCAATGAGAGGCCGGCAACCCGGGTTTCCTTCTCGCGCGTCCTTGCGCCTTCTTCGACCCCCTTCGACAAGGTGACAAGCGTTGTCGCGATCCTCGCCGCGGTGTGGGGGGGAATTTGAGAAAGGGGGGCCAAGAGAAGCGGTGCGCCAAGAGAAGAGTTGGTGCACTTCCTCCTCGAGCAACAGTTGGACCGCGGGGTCCTGCTTGCGCCCGTGTAATTGGGGTCCTACTCCCCCAGGGAACAGAAGGTGGTGGGGGATGCCCTATGTAAGCCCTCCGACCGACCGGGTCCAGGCCATCCAGCATCAGGACATCCTCGCAAGCAAGGACTCCACCACTTCGCCATATATATATATATAGATAGATATATATATTCGATTATTATATTGATAACAATAATAATTAATCGCGTGTGTATTGTTCGAATTTATTAAACGTATTAGCATGAGGTTCGGTTGGATATTGCTCGCCCTTGTGCCCGCCCTGTGCGACGCCGCCAGGAGAACCGAGGAGACTAGCTTTCTGGAAAAACGTCTCGTGCACCCTCAAACGTCGAGGCAACGTCAAGGTTAGATTATTATTATTGTTATTGTTATTATTTCTCTTTTTATCGCGTGAAGCTAAAAGATTTTTCCAAGGAAGAGTCGAATCGAGTTTTTATTGAGAATTATAATAATGGAATAGCAAGGTAGTAATTATATTCGATTGTAAAAGGATAATCTTCGAAGAATTATATTGAAATAAATTCAGTAGTAGATTTTTCTCTGATTCTTTATCGCGTGATCGAAGCTTCGATTTTAGCGTCGAATTTATTAAGAATTATATAATGGAATAAGGTATTTGGAAGTAGTATTCGATTGTACGTAAAAGAATAATCTTCGAAGAATTATATTAAAATAAATTCGTAGTAGACTTTTCTTTCTTATCGCGTGATCGAAACTTCGATTTTTCTAAGGAAGCGTCGAATTTATTAAGAATCATATAATGGAATAAGATATTTGGAAGTAGTTTATATTCTTCGAAGAATTATATTGAAATTCATTGATCCGATTGAAATCTTGTATCATTTTCTTTCTCTCTTCGATTTAAAGGTGAAATTTTATTTTATCGAATGAATATAAATTTAATATGAATTTTGGGAAAAATAATAATTCGTGTTTCGCGGCGCAGATTTGGAAAACGCGTGGGATCTCGGTGATCTGCAAAAATTGGACGGTTGGAACGGGACGGAATCGAGGAATTCAAATTCGTTGAACACGAGGCAAATATATCCCACCATTAATCCCGGAGACACGAACGAGCTACCAGGACCGATAACCGGGAGGCCAACGATGTCACCACCGCCTGGATGTTTGAGCGTACGAGGACAATACCCGAGCCCAACCAGTTGTTCCAATTATTTAAACTGTTGGGACGAAACTGTGACCGAGCAATCTTGCCCCGATGGATTGTTCTTCAATGACGTTAACCTTTATTGCGATTACGATTACAACGTGAACTGCGGTAACCGACCTGTACCTACACCGAGTAAGAGTAATTTTAACTTTCTTTCTCTTCTAAAGATCAAAAAAAAAAGTCAGAAACGAATATCGATTTTTTTCGATAATGTATAATTTTTTTCCCTTCCCTTTTTTCCCAGGGCCATCCTTGACCGATGGATCGAAACTGTGCCCAGAACCGAATGGTCATTACAGAAGTGCGACGAACTGTTCAGAATTCTACGTGTGCCTTTACAAAAAGCCCATCAAATTCGGTTGCCCCCGAGGCCTGGTCTACAATGACGTAAGAATTTTATTCCTTAAGAGTTGTATTCTCAGGAGGATACTCGCGGAATTTTAAATCGCATAAATGTGATAACGTGCGTCACGCAGCGTGAGAATGTTTTTTGTTTTTTTTTTTTCTCCATTTGAACTTGTGCCACGGTCAAAGGCCGCTTCTCGAACTTCCGTGTCGTTGCTTGAAACTAAATTCTTACATTAACCTCACATTTTATTATTCCGTACGTATATACATTCATACTTTTCGAATTCGACAAGATTGAAACGATCACGGATAACAGTCAATGATAAGCTACATATTTGTACATTTATGATTAACGGATTGTTAATCAACGAAGTAATCAATATTTGAGAGATCACAATAATTTGCACGCCAACATTTTTCTAAAATATGTTCTCTTGCTTGTTGTTTTTTCCCCTAGATCTCATCCTCGATTCCAACGCCATCTAATTTATGCTCTCCGCTATTCGCGCCTAATATTTTTCATCTATCGCTTCACAGCAATTGGGCGTCTGCGACTATCCGTACAACGTCGACTGCAAAGGCGCGGTAAGCCCTCCGCTCCCACCTAGACCGACCTCGCCGCAAGCTCAGCCATCGCAATCGCCCGCCTCGATCTCGTCAGGACAGCAATTGCCTCAACAATCTTCTCAACAACCGTCTTACGCATCTTCGCAACCTCCTTATGCGCCTTCACAACCTCAACAACCATCATACACACCTTCGCAACCTCAACAACCACTATACATGCTCTCACAACCTCAACAACCATCTTACGCACTTTCACAACCATCCACGTATCCTCAACAACCAGCTTACGGAGATTCACAATCGTCGTACGTGCATGGATCGCAGTCTTTTTCTGGAAATCCTTGGCTGAGCAGAATTCAACCTGTTCCCTGGAACGAACGAACTGTAAATACGCAATTGGAAATCGACAAAGAGCAACATGAACGAGAGGAAGAAGTCGATACGCAAAAAGAATCGACAGAGCAGTTGCAAAATCCTTGGGACGTGGTGCAAAATATACCGTCTAGTCTCAATACAGTTCCATGCCAAGATGGAGACGTGCACAAGTTGAACGATGCTTGCACGAATGTGGTGGTTTGCAGAAATGGACGGCCGCAGTTGTTGCAATGTTTATTGGGAAATTCGTACGACAGGCCATCAGACTCTTGTAAACCAATTTCCATCGCCAAATGGTAAGTGTACTTTTTTTTTTGTAAAGTTTGTATCTTTGAGTTCGAAAAATTGAATTTAATGAATTTCTGTTTCTGTTTCAGCTAACTTCAAACTTACGCTTTGTGTTAATTACGCCGAATTAAAGTAAACACTTAAAGTAAATAAAGCGATCGATTTTTCTTAAAATCCATTTTCTTTGTTATTCCCAATAAACCTGAAATTTTTAACTCATTTTTTTTGAAAATTAAAGAAATTTAAGAAAAATTGTAAAAATATTTGATAGAAATTTATCGATGAAATAAATAAGGAAAAGTTTTTCAAAAAATTAATTCCTGTACGTATATAAATATCAAGTGAAATATCAAGAGAATACTACTTATCAACCAAGAAAACTTGTGGATGGTAACTTTAGATGGTAACAGAAAATATAAAACAACGAAATTGTTCTGTATTTTACTGCAAGAGAGCGGCACTGTATGTTCATGTTCTTCGAAAACGTACACAAGGAAATAAAGTAGAAATGCAATACGATTTTTCATACAGAAGAAATAAATAAATGAATTCGATACATGTTTAAACATTTACAGAAATATTTTTTACATTAACAGGTAATATTTTTTTTCAGAAAACTCATTTTAGAATAAAAATTATATTTAACAAAAATAGAAAGTATCTTATTACATCATAGTAATAAATTTATATCGAAAAATAGTTTAATCAAACAAGAATTTTAAAATAATTTTTTATCTATGAAAATTCCTTAAATGAAATTATTTTCAAATTCTAAGAGATATTTTAAAATAAGATCATAGAAAACCAGAACACGTTTTATTTTAAAATATACTTTCTTCGACTCTGACCTTAAAACATAATGCACTAGAGAACTATATAGACATTAGATATGAAACATAAATTCATATTCTTCTTATTTTTATTTTTTTTATTATTTGTGTTTTATTTTTTCTTTTAATATTTTTGAATTTATTATCATATTACATTAAGTTATATGATTTAAATATTTTTTTAAAATATATTTTATTTACAATTTAGTTGTAACATTTTTTTAAGGATTAAACCAAAGAAAATCTTTGATCTTCTTTATATCGTGTAGGTAATAGCATTGCGTGGGTCTTAGAAATGCACTAACCTACTAATTTTAATATTTTAATATCTATATAGATAACTATAAGAGATGAAGTTATGCCTTTTTCAAACATTCTAATTGGAATATTACAAGTATTCGAATTATAATTTCGAGAAAGATGCACAAATAAAATAAAAATACATTATTAATTCTGAAACTGATTTAAAAAAAAAAAACAAAGAAATAGAATCTCATCTAATACCATTAAAAACTTCAAAATTAACAAATAATTTCTCTAATCTTAACAAAACGTACAATATAGTTTTTAAAAATATTATAAAAATTAAAATTTGGTCGAATCTTCAAAATTTTTCGACTCAAATTGTATTTGATCATTGAAAGCTAACAATGATTCAATAAATTTTGAAACGAGCAGGTTGAACGAGTACACTTGAAGGGGCAACGAACAAGGTTAATCCGTTCCTGAATGGAACAGAACACACCAAAGAGATATCACTTTCCCGGCTTTCTTGGTGCCACGCCCGGCTACCGTACTTTTATGCGAACTTGAACGAAACGTGCGTGTTCTCAGCCGCATACTAATTGAAGAAGGAAAAAAAAAAGGAAAAAGAAAAAAAAAAAGATACGACCTGTTCTCATCTCTCATGGAGTCACGAGAACGATGAACAGAACTGCGTTTGATTAATTTTTGTGAGTAATTCTTTGAAGAGAAATCAGGTATTGTATCGATACAAGATAACTGTAATTAGCAATTGTAAAATAAATTTTCTTCAATCATACTAATACCAGGTTATTCTCCTGCATTATCGACATTTAGTTCTATCATTAGTGGTCATGAATAAAGAAAAGAAAAGAAAAAAAAAATTAGAAATCAGTAAGGAAAAAACGCATCTTCTTCATTAACGTGAGATAGAATATATTTTCTTCTACGATTTTAAAATTTATAATATCTTATAATAGATCTTACAACGATGCTATCCAAATACTGTTCACTGCTGGAAAAAATATGAAAATATGAGTTTTATTGATTAATTTGGAAGGAAATTTTTATTTCTATCATGGTATTTGTCACGTACACTAATCCAAAACAATGATTTGTATTCTTCAATGCATTAACATAAGGCATAAAATTTTAATGTATAATAACATACATATATATGTATATGTATATAATATAAACATTTTTTCTCATAATATATATAAGCTAATTATAATTTATAATGATAGTTTAATTTATAAATGTAATTTTGTATTCAAGTAATTAAGATAATAATTGTATGCATATGAATAAGCTAGACATATTATAGATATATTAATATTATGTTAAAATAATTATTAGTTTAGAAAATATTTTAGTTTCCAATCTTAAATGATTATAACTAACATAACTTCATAAATGAAAATAATTTTTACGATTTTTAATATTCAAATTATAGCTCGTTTACTATTATATAGTGTCAGGATTGTCAACAAAGCGTCTGAGTGAAGATAGGCAGTTCTTAGCAAAAGATCCTTCTTGTCTCTGTGTCGTTTCACGAGACTTTTCAACAGTAAACAATATACATATATAATACACTTTCTCGAATTATAATCGAGACGTTGATTATCATCGAAATGAAGCTAAGAAATTAATTGTATCATCTGATAATCGATTTTCTTGTTAAATTCTTTCGATAATATTTTCGAATTCGAAAACGGATTCGAACGTAACGCACAACTCGAAAAACAGGCATTTGTGTTATGCATTCGTGAATTTAGACGCATAACAGACGTGTATTTTGCTCGAATATTACCGACAGAACGAGATTGACGCGTTACAACTTGTTTCTCGTGGCTCACGCGACAACTAATGTTTCAGAACGAATAGAAGTTTATCACGAAACGCAACCAGACTCGCCAATAAGGGAAAGTTGTAGCCAAAATTGTGAACTGCTAACGCTATGAATATAGTCGTTTTAAGTGTCTCTCTTTTCCTCGTTTTTAGAATAATTTCTCACGTCGTAAAATTTCGTAAATTATATATATATATGTTTTACTGTTTGTACAGGTTATATTATATATTATGTATTGTACAGGTTATATTATAGTGGAAATGACCAAAGTTTTATATTCTACTATTTCTAAAGATGAAAAAATATCGTGCAAACATAGGATTCAAAAATTCTTTCTTCTTAAAATACGATCATCTTTCGATTATAATTTTAATTTTGTAGGAACGTTTAAAATAGCATCAGTTTTGTATTTCCACTCACGACAATCGTAACCGCTTCGTCATGTGAATAAAAAGTTGTTCAAAGAGGATTGAATAATCTTCCGAGAAAGAGCAATAATGTTGAAGATAAACGTTTTTCACATGGCATTCTTGTTTAGATGGTGCACCCCTTGGAGGCGCGCATTGTTTCCACGAAAAGCAGCGTGGGCGGACTAACTGCATTTCTCGTGCGTGACACACGCGAAACGCACGATTCGCAAGGATCTCGCGCGTAGAACCTCGTTCTTTTGTATGCAGTCCAGGGTAGGTTCGATCAAAGAGGCGAAAAAGAAAGACTCGGTGGGCTTCCTCGCCCACGTATCCCCCTCGTCGTTGCGATTCTTTCCTTTGCCAAGGTAAATATCTCTCTTGGAAGTCGTCGCTTCTAGGTGTGGACTCGAATTCCTCGGATCTCTCTCTCTCTCTCTTTCTTTACTATCATTCCTTTCTTCCTACGTTTCCATCTCGATATTTGTGTTACATCGCAGCCCTATTTACAAATTTTTCTATTTGAAAGAAAAATCTCGTTTAATTCGCTAATTCCGAAACATTCTTGTGCTCATACTCATGCAATCAAAGAATTGAAAGAGAATCCTGCTCTTTTATATAAAAAAAACGAGATAAAGAATCTAGTAATCGCGATTAGAGGTTATGATGAATCTAAACGGAAAATTTTACGTTTCATATTTTAATTTTACAAGTATTACATAGAAAAAATGAAAAAAATTTAATTTGTAATATGCATAATAGAATAAAAATCATTTCGTTAAATTGTTAAATTTTGATCACTTAAATAATCGAAAAGATCTTTTTACGTAACATTTTTGTACAATCAAAGACAATCAACTTTTAATAAAATATTTATTATTGCTTGGGACAAAAATATCACATATTAATCTTTTCTATTTTTTTTTTATTTTTAATCTACAATTAAAATTCACCCAAATCTCTTCACACTTTTTTCATAATTTCTAATATATTTTATTTTCTGTTTCATGTCACATCGAGGAAATATAATACTAAGCTGAAAAGAGTTATTGCCACGTTCACAGGCAAACAAAGAGCATTTGGAACTTAACCGAATCTCGAGGTTCTCCAACCTACTTCGATGCAAGGTACAACTAGGTCACCTTGCCGGAGGTTGTGCAATACCGGTAGGTTGCTATCCAAGAGAACTAGTAGGATACAAAGGAACAGGGACGGACCAATTCGATACGTACGTCATTCGATTGGAAATTCAATTTTCTAGGAAAAATATTGAATTATTCTCTTTCTTTTTGCGGCATCCATTAACCCATCGTGCATTGTTCCTTCTTTATCGATAAATCTTAACCTTAAATAAATTTTATCAAAATATAGTTTTGTCTTACATCATTTCTAGACGCGTTAAATATTGTTGTGTCGATGTGAAGCCAGTGTGCTCGGATGATCCGTTTTTCCTCTAGAAAATAAGGATCGGCATCTAGCAAGGTCGATGGCGTCAACGACAGCCGGTAGACGCTTGAGAAATGGAAGGCCACTTTCCCTTTCTCTTCGCCTTTTCAACAACGCTGCTCAGGTGTTCTTCGACCCGTGTTCCAATAATGCAAAATTATAACGCGGAAAAACGTAAAAAAAAAAAAAAAAAAAAAAAAGAAAAATGTTCCAAGAAGCATTCTCAGTGCTAGAAAGTGACTCGTTGTTTATCGCTAGACGCGTTGGAATTTATCATAATAAAAGTGAAAATAAGGGAGAAAATGGTAGATTTCTTTCTTATATAGAATTGGGATGAGTTATGAATCAAGAGCGAAGGGAGAGGGAGAAGCTTTCTCCAAAATTTT